TTGTGCTGTAATCACTCATCAGCTGTTGCCAGATCCTCCTGTTTAATTTAATTTTGGAGTTGTTTAAATCATGCTTTCTACTTTCTCGTGCTGCATACATGGTTTCCATTTTTAGACGATCCTTAGTCCTGATCCAGGCCTGCAGTTAGATATCGAGCAGAGTCAGTTCGAGGTTGCATCTGATCAGTTTACTGAAACCACTGAGTTGGAAAAGGTATGATATCTTTTATTTTATGTGAGGCTCAGAACGCTTGCTGATGTAAAATGTTTAGTAAGCTCTGAAAACCGTTGAAATAGTGCATATCATTTACTTACGACGGTTCTTTAAGGTTCTCTGATATGCTGATTTCGTTGATTATATCTAGTGTGAGAAAAAAGAAGAAGAAAGTATGTCATCTGATTCATTCCGTAGAAGAGTTCAAAAAGGTATGATTTATTTTATATTGAACGAAGTTTCAGCACCTGTAAAGGAAAAGTGGAATATATTGGCCCTAAATGGCGAAAATGTTTATCTCGAAGGCATTCAAATGCTTGCGCATTAAATATTTTCAAAAGGGCTCTAAGTTTGATTGAAGGAAGTCCTCCCTTTCATTATGTTTAGTTGCTGGATAAAAAAAATGAAAAAAATTTGTCCTCTTTGAGATGTTGGTATCCTTCACTGACTCTACCCATCAGGGTTCATCCCGTCAGCCGCTTGGAGGTTTGTTTACATGTGAGAATGACGCACTACTGCCTCAGGGAACAATTTTTTCTCTATGCCAAATTACTTTAGAAAGATTGTACAATAAGTTGTATCACAAAATTTCTATTAAACAACAAGCTTATTGCATAAGCTGATCGAACGTTAGAGCTGATCGGCGTTCACCGCAAGTACATTTACGGTCTGGCTGTGCCACGACAAGTTCGCAAGAAGAAAGCTTTTAGCAGCGGTTGCTGCGCTTATTTTTATTTTTACGCTTTCGCCATTGATAGTTTAATTTTAAATCATTTTTTAAAATAGTTTTGTGGAAAGTATACTGTATGGTATTGTCTTTTGTAATCGTTTTAGAAGAACTCATTTGTCTATATGAGATTGATGAAATACGAATGATGCAACTGAGTCTTGAATTCGCGCACTTTCGACTGTAAATCAGAGCAGCTTCTACGGCGACTCATTCTTTTAATTATGATGAATGAGTCGATTTGGTCTTTTGTGATATCTGTTTTGCCATGTATCTGCGTTTCTTGTAGCAAAATATGGTTTTGAAAGCTCGCCTTGCTGTATTTGTACGCAAGCGTGTGGAAATTCGCGAATGAGAAACTGATTCATCGACTGTTTCTCTCAGTAACGCTCAGCATATGGACGCCGATATCACCGGCCGCGTGGGACTGAATCTAGAAACGCGGTGTTTCCAGACAGAAAATAAAAGTGAGTTTGTTTGGCTAATTTTTTGAGAGGTAGATACAAGTTTCACTAACGATCGTTTTTGCTACTGCTTCCACGTCGTACTTAGCTTTCAGTTGTTTTCTACTTTTGCATCAGATGTAAATATGAAAGATACTTTTTTAAAGTACACATTGAGTAATTTTATCATCCCTTTCCACCAAAGCCGCAGGGAACACGTTTGCACTATGTAGTTTACCAGTTCGTTGGACCCAAATCCAATAGGTTTGTTTAATTACAACGTCAAACCCCCTTGGGTAACTGATTGTTATTATTTTTTGCTGCTATTTGCGATGCTGATGCTGAGAAAAAATCAAGTTTGACTTATTTTTGTTCTTAGATGCGAGACGAACTAATATTTTTCATGAATTTGTCGTTCATCCTTATGTGTGCATTGCTTGGAGGATCGTTATTCTAATCAGAAGAATGTCCTTAGGCCCCCGCACTGACTAACCATGGACCAAACTCTTGAAGCAAAAGAGACGTACAGCGCTGTAGAACATCAACGTTACTCCAGAGGGGGCAACTGTTTCCTTAAAAACGAGACGCCACCCTTGCCCTTCACGTAGGATAGCTCATTTTCTAACCGGTTGAAGAGTGGCAGCTGCTTTTCTACCGTTTTTGATATACCAATCCACCAGAGCTTCGCTGACCAAGCATTTCCGGGGTTAACGACGATCGTTAAGAGCTTCCATGACGGCTAAAGAGCAACAAGACACACCGTACTCTCTCCTGCCGAACAATCCCTGGATTTAATCATTTGATACTCCCTGCGGCAAAAGTAGAAAATGGCTTTTAGTAGTCATAAACCAATCTTTGTGCATATTTTATACATAAAGATTCTTTTAAACTGTAAATTGTTTTATCAAAGTGCAGCCATGGTACATTTGTTCATATTACTGTAGTGTAATGCATTTTCTTCCAAACATATATATATGTTTATATCCGAAGTCAATTATAAATACCATGCAGTCGTGAACAGCTAAAATGCTCCCCCTGCGATTATATGTATACATATACAGAATTATCGTCGCTAATTATGTTAATTATTGTGGCGGAATGGAAAATGAAGGAAAGTTCATAATCGTTTGGTTTTGTTTGCACGTTCATAATGGCACGATTTCTGACGCCCTTGTTTCCATGAAATTCCATGAAGTCTCCATTTCCATTCCACCAGCCAAGAGTGGCTGATTTTAAAGGCCGATGTTGATGTGGCAAGCATACAACGCTGTCTCCTGTTACTCATTTGTCAACATTGGAAGGAAGAAAGGCGAGTTTTCTGAACCAGGATTCGAATCCGGAACTTCTCGATTCTGTTCCGACCTTATACTGCGTATGCAATCAACATTCACAGACTAGATGAAGTGTCTTTATGGATCAGGCGAGCAGAGGCTATTGTTGTTGTACTGCATCAGAGAGATTAAAAAACAAACCAAAAACCATCGAACAAGGTCACGTATCACAGAGCCTCCGCTAACATATGGTCTCGTACAACTTATCGGTTTTTTTAACATTTTGTTATTTGCATTGTAGCTAAATAACATATTATGATTTGCAATGAGGTCGATACGGTATTCCGTTGCTGATAGCGAAATGATTACTTAAATTCGCTTTATGCTTACACAATAAATTAAAATAATCCATGGCTACGAAGCTAATATGCAGTTTTCGTCCCAGTGCACTTTTTGTGTCCACCAGATGTGGCAACATTTTGTTTCAGATGAAGTGTGCCATTTCAACCAAATTGAAGAAAGAAAATTAAACGTTTTGATAAGATGGCCAGTTATTACAGTTCAACGTAAATAATTTAAATGTAACGACGAATTTAATAACAAGTAAATAAAAATTTAAAAGATACAGGTATTAGTTTTTTAAACCTGCCTACCGTAGGTTGTATGTTCACTTCTGACTATCAACCTTACGTCGTACTCACGAATATCCAGCTTAAGCAGCTGATGAACAAATTGATGAGTTTTGGTCAGCGATGTCCTGCCGAGAACTAAAGCAGATTCTGCTTTACGTTGAAAGAGGCCATTTTGTTTTGCAAGCCTTGGGTAAGTTCCTTAAATGAACAGTTCACGTTTTAAATGACCAAGACTTAAATTTCATAGTCAAGATGTTTACGCCGCACTTCAGAATTACTTGATTCTTCTAAAACTGGTTTGGGCATGTTTTGCGGATGTTCCCAGAGACGAAGGCAAAATAGCGACTACTTGCTCAACCGACCCGCTAAAGACCCTAACGACAGACTCTGCTCCAGTCTCGGGTTTTCTTCTGCTGAACCTCAGACGCTGGCTTCTAAAGGTTTATACGGCCATCGAAATTGACTTACTGAATTTCTCTACGATTTGTTCCTTGTGGTAATTCCCATTAAGCTGCAATTTGGAAACACAAGACGTTCACCCTGCTTTGTTCTACCACTGAAGTTTATTAGACTTTTTAGAACTTGCTGAGGAAGTTCAGCGCTTTCGCTCTCAATTTGCCAAAGTGAACGAAATCGACGCGAAAGTCGCCAAGGCCTATCGCGAGGTTTGTGCATTGCTGACCGGTTATCAGTGCAAAATCAAGAACGAAACGATTTTCGCAGATCAGAGTACTTTCGAGAATGCGGAAAGGGAGTTCGGTTTTCGGCTAATGAAAATGTAGAGCTTGTAACTTTTAGGTTTTATATGAATGTTTCAATGAATAATTAATTTCAGGATAATTATCAGTGATTAACGGGCTTTATTTGTTGCAGAAAGCACAGGTCAACAGCTTAAAACTGATCGATAATGAGTACACGAAGTAATGGATGGATTTTATTAAAGCATATCTCTATCAGAACAATTCCGTTCCAGCGTTCCCGGCCGCTATCAATGTGCACCTGTTCAAGAGCAATTTGAAAATTAAACATGTTCACTGAACAGACTTGCTGCACTTTAAACACTGTTTTTGTTTATGTTTAATGCTGCTCTAATTTTGTTTGATATACTTCTTGGATCCTTCCACAGCGTTTTCTGTCGTTCTTGTTTGCGGACTCCGGTATACATTCATTTTTTTTGGCCATATTTAACGCCATTCATTTCGTGAAATTTATATCCTCCGTGTGATTGTTTTCATTCCATCCGTTAAGGATTCTTCCTCATTTTTTGTTTGATCTTTCTTGAAGTTTTCTGTAGCTGCACAGTGCGGCACGCGGTTCTTCACCAGTCGTCCACCACTGTTGGGTAACGTCTTCTCTTTTTGGCACAATGTTTGTTGTGATGTCACTGCATTGGCAGTTGCTAGCTGTTCCCATGATATGACCCAACTGAAGAAGTCCCAT